CTGCAACCTGAGCCCATTGCTCCTGTTCTGCCACCTGCCCCCACTGAGACCAGCCTCTCTCCAGCCTCTTTGGAACCCCCCTTCAGGGAGCTGCAGGCTGCTCCCCACCCCCCCCCCCTGCAACCTGAGCCCATTGCTCCTGTTCTGCCACCTGCCCCCACTGAGACCAGCCTCTCTCCAGCCTCTTTGGAACCCCCCTTCAGGGAGCTGCAGGCTGCTCTCAACCCCCCCCTCACTCTTCTCTTCTGCAGACTGAACAAGCCCAAATCCCTCAGCTTCTCCTCATAGGTCATGTACTCCAGCCCCTTTGCAGAGGCTGCGCATGTATTTGTGGAACTTGGGGCAGATGTATCTGATCCCACTGAGGAGATGGCAAAGCAACCCTCCCCTGCCATCTCAGGAGACAGAACTGCCAGCTTTCCTGCAGGGCCGGGAGCCAATATTCTCTCTACGTTTTTCCATCCATGAGCAGAATACATTTTATTCTGTGCACCGGGGCTTGTGCAGATGTGCACCATCAGCAGGCCGGCTAATCAGCGGGCGGCATTTGAATCCAGGCACTCACCTTACAGGGAGCATGACCCATGGCACCACTTCCCTTCCCTTTCCGCCCCAGCTATTCAGGAGCGGGCATGTCATGGGACGAGCTGCAGACAGGAAAGAGGCAGCCCCCGGGGGGCTCACTGCCCACCCCCAGCCCCAATGGTCAAACCAGCATGTGCCGGGACACACGCTGCAGCAGATGCCCAGGCCTGGCCAAGCCGCCCAAAGCTGGCGTGGGGCTGGAGGGGGGAGGCCCCCGCCCAATGGGCCCTCTCCCCCTGGTTCCGGATGGGGTGGGTGCTCTGCGGAGGGGCACTGGCTGCGCAGCGGGGGAGGGCTGCAGTGTCGGCGCCCCGAACACGCCAGGCCGAGGTTACCATGAGCGCTCGGCCGGGCAAAGCTGCCAAGCTCTCGCCAACTCACCCCTTTGCCCAGGTCTGCCAGGGCCATGCACCAGGCCAGTGTCTCCCAGCTCCCTGCAGGGCCGTCTGCGTGCAGGAAGCAACAGCCATGGCAGTGAAGAGAAGCCTCGTGGCCCATCACTTCCCGGCCTCCTGGCCCCTCGTGGCCCTAGGGACCCATTCCCTGCACACCGAGCTGAGCCAAGGCCTTTGGCCTTTTCGAGCTCCACTAATTCTCTGTGGCCTTCCCTGAGTGGGTGATTGGCGGCTCCCAGGGAGAGGTCGCTGGGGTCAGAGAACAGGGGAGGCATTTCTGGGATTCCTGACTCCCCGGGGTTTGACCTGTGGGTTACATGAGAGCGGGGCAGAGGAAGCCGGACACTTCTCGCTGACACCCAAGTGGTGGCCTGCGCAAATGCTTCCGCCCTTGCTGTGGACAGGCAGCCCTCTTATCTCCACACAAACGGGTAACATGGAGGCCAGGCAAGCCAGGGTGTGAATGCTGGAGACTGGCTCAGAGACGTGTCCCGCTGGAACCCACTTCACCAAAGTGGCTCCCTGGCGCGCAGCAAGCAATTCAATTTCCTTCATCAGAGGGACAGCGAGGGGCCTCCCTGAGCACACGGCTGGGTTTATGGTCTTTGCAATTTCCTGCTACGTTTAGACCAGAACCACAGCTGGGAAAATGACACTTTTTTTGGTTCACTGGTAATTAAAAAACCACAAAACAGGGATGTGGGAGGGTCAGGTTGAACTGAAACCAAAGGGCTTAGATGTTTTGACGAATCAGAAGTTTAAAAATATTCATTTTGGGTCACACATTTTGTTCAACCCAAAGAGGAATATTTCATTTGGAGGTGAGCATTTTTTTTACCTATTTTAATGTTTAAAATGTCAAATTTAAGGACATTTTGAAATAAAAAGTCATTTCAAATTGAAAGATCAAAACATTTTGTTTCAAAAACGGGAAATGTTTTCAGGTGTTTTTCGACCTACATTTTTCACTGGAAAAAAAATCATCCCACAAGTTCTGCACAGCTGGCTCCCGGGAACACACACCGTTTGGAGACACAGGGGGTAGCCAAGTTCGTCTGTTACAGAAAAAAACCAGCAAGCAAATGGTCTGGTAGCACTTTACAGACGAACAAAACATGTAGCCGCTCATCTGAAGAAGTGGGCTGTGCCCATGAAAGCTCATGATACCATCTGCATCGTGGGTTCCCAAACTGGGGGGCGCGAAGAAAATCCAGGGGGGTGCGAGGCGACCCAGCCAATCCCACCTCAAGTTTTGCTGCTATTTTTTGGGGAGGGGGGTCGTGAGGGTTTCTCAAAAATCAAAAAGGGGGCGTGATGCCAAAAAGTTTGGGAACCGCTGCTCGACATGTTTTGTTAGTCTATAAAGTGCTACGAGACCATTTGCTTGCTGGTTTTTTGTTTGTTTGTTTGGAAACGGCCGCTTCCCCCCTCCCGCCCCCGCCAATCAGCATCAGGGATGGCCTGGCAATCATGACATGCTCTTACCTCCTCCGGAGCCACAGTTGGGGGACAGCTGCCCGTTGGAGCACGTGCACATGTTGGGCCGGGAACAAAACCCTTCGCCACAAGAGTTCCGGCAAATTGCTGGAGAGAGACAAGAGGAACACGACTCGCGGTGCTGCCCTGCGCGCCCGGTGCCGCTCCCCTCCCGCACATGCGGCCCGCACTCAGAGCTTCCACGGCCAGGAGGGCCTATGGGCGCCAGGTGTGGCCGCCTTCGGAGCACAGCCCCGCGCCTGAGCCCCGGAGGGCAGCGCGTTTAGACACGCAGACAAGGCCCTTAGCTTCCGGCGAAGGCCTGGCCTGTGGGAGCACGAACCCGCTCAAAGGGAGGACCCTGGTTCTGCTCCAGGATTATTTCGAGAGGAGGGTTTTCTCTCAAAATAACGTGTCTACACAGCGCGTTTTATTTCGAAATAGCGCCATAATGTGAATATGCAAATGAAGCGCAGGATATTTAAATCCCGGCTTCATTTGCAATTTCGAATGTCTTCATTTGCATCCCTATTTCGAAATAGGGTGCACGTGTAGACATACACGGGAGACATCTTAGAGACACATTAGAGCACAGAACACTGAGAGCCAGGACTGGGGGCTGCAAACAAACTTTATGGGACCGCAGGAAACTTGGCCACCCCGATAAGTGGACATCCAGGCAACTAAAATCCTGCCGGACTAGGAATGTTGCCAGACCAGAGAGTTCTGGACTGGAGAGGCTCACCCCGTATTAAAATCGGTATTGTTTGCTCCTGCCCTGTTTCCCGAGTGGTCCAGATTGCTCTGTATCAGTGAACTGTCCTCTCCAGGATTTACTACTTGCGCCAGTTTTGTGTCATCTGAAACGTTAGCTGTGATGATTTGATTTTTTCTTGCGGGTCACTGATAGAAATGGTAAGGAGAGGAGGGGCAGGAACACTGCCCACCCCCCACTGGACATATCCCTGGTCAAAGGCATTTCCCCATTTGCAGTAAAATGTTGAGACCTCAGTTAGCCAATCTGTAATCCATTTAAAGCGCATCTTGTTCATTTGAGATCTGTCTAGCTTCCTAAGCAAACTGCCACACGGTACCAAGTCTTAGCGAATCCTGGAATTACAGATTCACAGAACTGGAAGGGACCTTGAGAGCTCATCTACTCCAGGCCCCTGCCCTCAAGGCAGAACTAAGTATTACCTAAGTAAGACCATCCCTGACAGATGTTTGTCATAGTACATTATGTCTATTAGCACCCAAACTTACAATATTATCCAAAAAGGTACCAGGTTAGTCTGACAGAGTCTATTTTCCATAAGCCTGTTGACTGGCTTTATTTCTTTTAATGTTTTATTGAGTCCCACATCACCTGCCTCATCACCATGTCCAGATCCATGTCAGGCCGACAAGCTGATATTTACTCAAGTCGTTCTGTTTATCCTTCCTACAAATAGCACATTAGCCTTCCAGAACTTCCCCCGTGCTCTCAGACTTCTTGAAAATCAGCATCAATAGTTTGGTGGTTCCTCAGCCAGCTCTTTTAAAACTCTTGGAAGGGAGGTACCAGAACCTGCCAATTTAAAAATGCCTAAATTGGCTCCCATTTAGCATCTTCCAATGAAGCAAGTGGAATGGCAAGACTTTTCCCACCACAATATGATGAGACGATGTCGGGGACCTGGCCAGTGTCAACTGGAGCTCTGTCCATGTGGTGTGCTGTTTTCCACACCTGGCCCCCTGTGAAAGGGCTGCTAGGCCTCAGACCAGGGAAGCCAACGACCCGGCAGTGTTGTTTCACCTGCATCAGCAGAGACTGATCAGAGCCCAGCGAGAAGCTCTCATCTCTGTATGGGTATGTCTACACTACAAAGTTAGTTCGAACTAACGGACGTTAGTTCGAACTAACTTTAATAGGTGCTACACTAGCGCTCTGCTAGTTCGAATTTGAATCGAACTAGCGGAGCGCTTAGTTCGAACTAGGTAAACCTCATTTTACGAGGACTAACGCCTAGTTCGAACTAGCTAGTTCGAACTAAGGGCTGTGTAGCCCTTTAGTTCGAACTAGTGGGAGGCTAAGGCTTCCCAGGTTTCCCTGGTGGCCACTCTGGCCAACACCAGGGAAACTCTATGCCCCCCTCCCGGCCCCGGACCCCTTAAAGGGGCACGGGCTGGCTACGGTGCCCGTGCCAGGTGCAAGCCTGCCAGCACCCAGCTAGCAGACCCTGCACCTGGCACGGCACAGAGCCGGCTCCCGGGAGCTTGCCCAGGACCGCAAGAAGTGGGCACCTTCCTGGGCTAGTGCAGACATAATGGACCTTGTCCACGATCTCTGCACTAGGCACAGGAAAGTGGCCGTCTAGGGCAGGAGAGCTGCCAGCCTGGCCACCCAGGACCAGGTGTGCATGAAAATCAAGGGGGTCCACTGAGACCCCCGACCCTGAGCCCTGAGCTTACAATGGCCGTACTGGGTCAGACCAAAGGTCCATCTAGCCCAGTAGCCTGTCTGCCAACAGCGGCCAACCCTAGGGACCCTGGAGGGGATGGACCGAAGACAGTGATCAAGCCATTTGTCTCGTGCCATCCCTCTCCAGCCTTCCACAAACTTTGGGCAGGGACACCACTCCTACCCTCTGGCTAATAGGACTCCATGGACCCAACCTCCATGACTTGATCTCACTTCCCTTTAAACTCTGTTCTAGTTGTAGCCTTCACAGCCTCCTGCAGCAAGGAGTTCCACAGGTTAACTATTTGCTTTGTCAAGAACAACTTTCTCTTACTAGTTTCAAGCCTGCTACCCATTCCTTTCCTTTGGTGTCCTCTAGTCCTTCTTTATGGGAACTCATGAAGAACTTTTCTGAATGCACCCTCTCCACCCAACCCCTGCTTTTAGAGACCTCTATCCTGTCCCCCCTCCGTCTCCTCTTTTCTAAGCTGAACAGTCCCAGTCTCTGTAGCCTCTCTTCATCTGGGACCTGTTCCCAACCCCTGATCATGTTAGTTGCCCTCCCCTCTCCCAGCCTTTCTCTTCCCCTCTCCCACCTCCTTTTCCCAGTCTCCCCCAGTTTTTTTCAATAAAGACAGAGTCAATGTTGGAAGAAACGTTATCTTTATTTTGTACATCAATAAGAAGGGGGGCTAGGGAAGGGTAAGTGGAAGGAGGTGAGGGAGGAATGGGGTACGAGCCCCCGATGGGGAGGACTGGGCTGGCTCTGCGGGCTTCTGGGGGTGGAAGCTCTCCTGCAGCCCCCCAATTACTCCCTCTCCCCAGATGGCAGCCTGCGGCAAGTGCAGCCGGGCTGATGGCCGAGTGGTGTGATGTGCCCAGTGTGGGCACTCAGGGCACTCCAAGCCAGAACTTCTTTGCAAGCGGGGCACCCCTTAGAACTGTGTGTCCGGGGTGGGGGTCGGGACCCTTTAAGCGCAGCCCTCGGCTAGCCTGAGACAGTATCTCCATGCTCTAAGTCCTCCTTTTATGCCCTGCCGGCACTGCTTCCGGCCATCCTTAAGCCCTGTTCAGAGTCCACTCAATGTGGACTTACTAGTTCGAACTAGCAAAACGCTAGTTCGAACTAGTTTTTAGTTCTAGATGCGTTAGTTCGAACTAGCTTAGTTCGAATTAACTAATTCGAACTAAGTTAGTTCGAACTAGCGCTGTAGTGTAGACGTACCCTATGTGTTATAAAACACAATGACAAAATGTAGTTCCCACGGGTCAGGAACCCAGAGGGCATGTGGTCCAACCCGGAGGGAGTCAGGAGGCCGTGCTCAGTGTCACTAACCTCACATGCCAGGAAACCGCTATTTGGCTGGGAGCTCCCCAGCCCCCGCTTGGAATCGACTGGGATCAGCAGCAGTTTTTTTCCAAAGCAAAGGACCCAGCAGGGTTTCCTGTGCTGAGAACTGCGGGTTCTCTGGTTTGCCTTAAGCCCACCTGCATCCAGCCCTCGGGTGAGACGTCTCCGTCTTCCATTTTAACCCTTGACTGAGCCTCTGTTTCCGCTTTATGTCTTTGGTGAGTAGCATTCAGGAGAACAACATTAAAGGCGACTGTTCCGCCTGTTTCCTACGGGACTGCTGCCTGGCTCAGTGTTCACTTTCTGAACAGCTAGGCAATGTTTTGTCAGATTTCCATTGGTAAATATGTAGCCTCCACCTTATTTGCTGCCCCCATCCAAACCCTACTGTGAACAGGGAATAATTCGCGGGCTTTGCTATGGTGCTTATCATGACACATGGATTTATTTTCACAACACTCCTGTGAGGTGAAGGGAACGTGGCCATTTCACAGATGGGGAACTGAGGTGCAGAGGGATTAAAGTCAAAAGCGCTTCCGCAAATTAAGGATGTTAAGAGGCAGGTAACTGGGCAAACATACAATCTATATCAACTACACCAGTGTTTCTCAACCTTTTTTTATAAAGCACCCCTTTTAAAAATAAATAAAATATATACCCCCAGTACCAACAGTTTTCAGACACACACATTTTTTTTCTACCATTTCAACACATTTGTTTTAACAATTTAATCGTGGCCGGATGGGCGATGACATTTTTGGGTGTAAAAATCAACAAAAGCACGGTAAAACTTAAAACACAAATTCAGTTTTCTCCAAATTTCAGTTGTGTTGATGTCCCCCAGCCGTCTCTCGAGTACCCCAATTGAGAAACACTGGACGACACACTTAGGCGATACGGGAAGGCGCTCAGAAGGTGCTACCCCAGCTGTGGCTTTGCTATTTAAAGTAGTAAGAGCCGGGCGCGCAGGCAGCAGTGCAGGGGGGAGGGGCAAGTAGCAAGTGGCACCGCAGAGACGGTGCTGGGGGAACCAGCTTTTAAGACAGCTCCCCCCAGCACGAGCTCCTGACCCCCCTTTGCTAGTAAGAGCTGTGCGCGCAGGCAGCATGGGGGGGAGATGCGAGTACCCAGTAAGCCCAGGCTTATCAGGTAGTCGACTAATCAACTACTCTTTCACATCCCTACTGCAAATCAGATCCTGTGCAATGCCAGGCTGATACTCAAGCTCAGTAAGCTACAGCATAGGGCCTCCGAGCATAAGGGACCTCTGCATACAAGACTATGCCTAGTGTTTAGCTGCATCCTCACCTACGTACCAGCCCACATGCAAATATAAAACTGGATTCTTTCTATGTTCATTGTGCTTTCTGTCAGAACAACACACATTTTGGGTAATGCCACGGGGACTCTTCAACTTGACAGTTTAGAGCCTCGACACGTCTGAATCCAGCTCTGATCCCATGGCACCCAGAAAATGAGGAGCACACGGTTATGCAGCACACAGAAATGCAGGCTGA